TCCATACGATAGAGAATTTCGTTTTGAAAGTAATTCAATTGTTGAACCGTTTCGACAGTCTCTTGATATGTTTCAGGATGTATTTAACACATATCTGACTTATTTGGTTTATCTTTGTCTCTATTCCAGATTAGTACGATGTGTGCAGTCTATCATATTTTATGTTTTCGCTCTGATATCGCCGGGTAGCTCAGTTCATAATGTTTCATATTTACAATCAAGATGTATTGAGTTCAAGCCCCTGTCGGATCACCTTCTTTTTATCAGTCTGAGGTATATAAATGCGTCCCACTTCATGGAAGGGAAGCAGGAGACTGCGCACTATAGTGATCATATGTTCGCATATATCCTTGAACGGAAAAAGATTAAGGTACTCTTAGGTAATGAAAATTATGGACATTTGCTTCGCTGGTGTCTGATCATGGAGTTATCATTTAGGCTGGCATCCCAACGGTTGCAACTTTCATTGCTTTACACATCACCTCAGTTTTTCTAATCTGTTTTTAACTATTTCACTATAAACTATATTTCTGATTGTAGGTATTAACCTGTCAACCGGAGAAGTGTTCAACGCGACATTTGCATTCCGTGGGCCATGTGAGGAATTGCGCAACGCACGTACTTTGATGAACTCAAATAAAGTAACTATTTATTTCTGTAGTTAGTCATTGAGTATAATGACTTTTCGAACAGATGTTGGACATATACGATTGTAAGAAACACAGAATCTCGATTGACTTCTCGTACACAGTGATTCCCAACACTCGCGCATATCTTCAACTGCCGGACGTCGCTCTGCTTCAGGTAGTTTTAGACAGCCGTACCTTAGACAGGAAAGTTTCAGTTCGTGACTGTATGCTCATGTCTCTCGTCCGTATACAGCCCATTCACTGTCATCACACTTTCACAATGGACGCTATTTATTGCACCAATTTTTTCGTAGAGATTATGGGTCGGTGCTGATTTCTGTTCATGTGCTAGGAAGCAGGAAGCTGTTACCTGAAGGTAGTATTAACAGCTATGACATGTAGAAGAGGTAGACTACTGCTTTCTTTCTTATGAAGTGGTAAAGGATTTCCACAAATTATATTGAACATGGAAATGCCTTTATTCCAATGGTTGCTCTCGGCGAGAAGTATGATCCGAGAATTGTCGGTTAACAGGATTATGGTAATGGTTTCTGATAGTAAATGTGCATTCATGCCTGAGGTAAACGATCGCTATTGGTTCAGCAACAGCGCGGTACTTCGCCAACCGCTCACAGGAGCAGTTCATTAGTGAATCATAATCTGATAAGAAAGGGACGATCATTAGCTCGGTTGCTGCATGCTGTCTCAGGATTATAAATTAAACGAAGAACAGATTTCGTTAGTTATTTATTAACAGTGCCTCATTTTTATGGTTCGAGATCACCCATTCAGATTGTTTGAATTAGATCACGCATCTCAGTAATGACCTAGTTCGAGGAATTTTACTCGCGCAAATTGTGGCGAAGTCTGATTTTCGCGATGCAGTTGAAGGAATCATGAAATGATAGGCTAAGTACGCTTTGATTATTCATTCGTTAGATGGCTAATCTTCATTAAATTTCAGTCCTTCTGTCTATTCTGTTTAGCTGCCGAATAACTGCCGTTTTTAATTCAATCTTGAATTGTCGCCTTTTGATGCCAAACTTTTTAATCTTACGTTTCTAGCTGATGTCCACTTCCCCATTTGCTGAATCTCCGTCGTTTGCCACTGACGTTCGTGCTGCCTTAAAATTTCTGATCGACCATCCGATTGATACCATTTTCAAGCACGGGCCTTTGAAGTTTGAAAGCAGAAACGGTCACTGGGTCAAAATTGAGTAATAATACAGCAAATGGTGATACTTTATTGCAGTGGCGAAACTTATGATAGTTGATTTGCTGACTCGGCTTCATTCTTTCAACATAGCCTTGAAATGAAGCTTTAAAGCCTTGTAAATCATTATGTTGCTGTGTTTGGTTTTATGAATCGCTATTTTGATCTTAAATAAAATTTGCATAGAGTTATGGCACTTTAGAGTTTGTCATTCTTGGTTAATGCCATATATCGCTGTCTGATTACGTAGTATTTGACATGCGTATAAAACTTACTTCAGGTACATGCATTGGCTTTGTCTCGCTGGTTTTTTTTCCACCTGCCTTGTTCGGCATCACGAAAATGAGTCAAGAAAATCTTGTTGCTCCTGTTGATTGGTTGGGAGACTCACCTTCAGAATTACGAGTGAAACGAAAAAGTAATGATCGAAAGGGTAAACTTAATTTCTAATATTTGACAGCGCATTTCTAGAATATTTCGATTTTAAACATTTGGTGGGCTTCAGACATCAAACCACTCCAGTAAATCGCTGTTCTGTGCCAACTGACGTCTCTCCTCTGACCGAAGACTTGAACACAATGGGACTTCAAGGATATTTGCATAAGTGACTTTCATTTGTTCACGTCTTTGAAATGTTGAACGTTTTTTGCTTCAGGCCTGTGAAACAGTGCCAAGCAGTGCCTTCGACATCTAAGGCTTCTGAAGAAAGAACTGATAAACTGAACGTAGTGAATACGCTGAAAAATTTTATTGAAAAAAAAGAACATGAAGGTAATCATTTATCAGCTAGTCTCGATCGTACAGGACTGACTTATCCAAAACCAAGTTCAGGCAACCCTTTATGTCAAGTCGACGTCGAGGTCGCTCCAATCACTGGCAGTAGGTTTAAGACTCTGAAACCAATCGCATTAGATTTTGATCATGCTGAATGTCCCCCAAAAAGGTTGAAGTGGACCACAGAGGAAGATGCTGATGCGGACGACTCGTTTCAGAATGACTACGACACAGACAATCTGTTTGCGACACTCGATCTGGAGACATGCGTAATGAATCGCAGCAGTAAGCCTTTCAGCAAGCGTACGTCCTTCTCTCGCTTTAATACTTTTTCTGGTAAGCTGATTCATAAGTTAAAACTTATTACTTCAAGTTTAATTTAGGATCCCATTCGGTTCCAGAAGCGAGTGTCAGTAAAAGTAGAGATTTTCCTTCATCGAAG